TAGTGTTTCAAATATTACGTTAATACCTGATGATATGTACAGTTTCATTCAGAAGTATAATAATTTCAAGTGGTTTTGTGATACGTGCAACAATGTTTCTCCAGACATCAAGTCATCAACGGAAATAGACACGGATTTGCTCGCGAAGGCAGTTGGCAGAAGTAAACAGGAATTGATGATTAAAATTGATGGATTGACTGATGCCAGTAAAATCATAGAATCGGAGCTCCGGAATATCAGGTGTGCAGTAAAATTGAATGATGAAAAATTAAGCAACATTAATCATGCTTTTGATGAGATGCGTACGGGCAGTGGTGCAGTCAGTACATCATAGACCGATATAGTAAGCAAAGAGGTTAAAAAAAACATTGATGTGATTAACGTTGAAGTCAAGAATGTGGAAAAAAAGTTGAATGATGCGACAGATATCGAGAAGAGAGAAAAAAATTTGGTGCTTTTTAGACTTGCTGAAGGAGACGGCGACAAAGAACCTATTATGACGATTTTTAATCACTTGACTCGAAACGAAGTTGCCGAGAAAGCAGTTGTTAAAGTAACGAGACTAGGGAAAAAACAAGAAAAATTAAACATACCGTTATTGATTAGTCTTGATGGTGTTGAGTCGAAAAACTTAATAATGGACAATGTATCACGAATGAAATCGTTGGATGATGTCCTAAAAGGTGTTTGGCCTAGTCATGACCTATCAAATGATCAGAGAGATGAGTTGAAGAAGTTGATCAATGATGCAAAAAAGCAAGAATCTGTAAGCGGTTATTTTTTATTCAAAGTGAGGGGGCCTCCGTGAAGATGGAAAATAGTCAAGTTTTGGAGGGATCAAAAACTGAAAGAAAACGTTTGATTGAGAGAGATGGCACTGATGGTTGATGATATTGATTTTGATGGAGTAAACGTTGAAAGTTGTTTTAGATATGCAAATAATAAACGCTATTGTGGTAAGTGTCAATATAAAATCTCAAGGCTTGATGTGTGTGGTGGAAAAGGGTGTAACAATAAAAATGTAATAGGTAAATTTCAGTATGTTGAGGATAATAAAATCAACGAATGTTTTAATAAAGCATCTGATAAAGGTAAGTTTGATAAAATTGGAAATGAGGAGCGATCGGTGGTTTTGGGAGTTTTAAATATTAGATCTATAAAAACAAAATTCAGCTCTATTTATGGTTTGATTCACGAAGGCCTTGACATCTTTGTTGTGACGGAGAGCTGGCATGGTTCGGCAGATAATATTTCCATTGGGTTATCAATGCCACTTGGCCATCAGTTTGTAGACTGTTTAAGATCGCACGACTCACACCATGGAGGTTTAATCATTTTTTTCAAATCAATTTTTAGATATAAAAAGATCACTCTGCCACTGGTCTAACTTAAAATTAATGAATTAGATTATATCCTGGCAATTTACAGACCTGGATCTGAACAATAAATGGCATCATTTTTTTATGAACTAATTTCGGTCTTAGAATGTGTTACAATCATTAGTTCCCGTATTTTGTTAGCGGGAGATTTCAACATTCACATGGAGGGGTCGAACAATCCAAACGTTGTTGATTTACGTAAAGTATTAGAAATGTTTCAGTTGATCAACCACATAGATGAACCAACGCATATTATAGGAGGAACACTCGATCTAATTGTGACGTCACACAATATAGCGGTCAGTGAAGCAAAGGTTTATCCTAGTGGAATCTATTCGGATCATGGTTTGGTACAGGTTAGTTTGTCAATAAAATTGACAAAGTCTCTGAAAGCAAAAAGATTGATCCGACTCTGGAATCGTTTTGATGAGAAAGCTTTCGCTGATGATGTAAATGCAGAATTTGGTTTATTCAGTACGAAGTAAGGAGAATTGTTGATAGGGTTGTCCCTCTTGTACTGGTGCTGCCTGGGCGCCATCATGTTGCACCGTGGTTTGATGATGATTGCAAGGCTTCAAAACGAAAATCTAGAAAAAAAGAAAGAATTTTTAGAAAGAGTCGTAAATTATCTGATAAAAATAAATGGGTATTGGCCCTTAAAGAAAAAGCTGAAATTCATTCAAACAAACATAAAGTATATTGGAAGAATGTTGTCAATGAAAACAGTAAACTCCAAAAAGCTTGTGGAAACACTGGTACATGCTTTTATTACATCCAGATTAAATTATTGAATCGAAGATTGATTGATTATACTTTAAAATACCTGACAAGTCAATAGCTGTACTTCAGTCTATTCAAAATCGAGCTGCAAAACTTGTTACAAAAAACCTGAAGTTCGATCACGTGACTCCGATCGTGAATGATCTACAATGATCTAAAAGAATAAGTTTCAAAATTGCTGTCTTAACGTTTCGGTCATAACATGGTTTAGCACCTCAGTATTTGGCAGACATGTTCATCAAAAAAACATCTGTGTTTGGTTCGCAGTTGAGATCAAATGGCATAAACCTCCTGGTTGTGCCGGCAATGAATTTACAGACCGGATCACGCAATATTGCTGTTGCTGGACCGGTGGTTTGGAACAGTCTACTGGCGTTTCTAAGAAGACCAGATCTATCTTTGTTTTTGTTTAAAAAGGAGCTGAAGACTCATTTATTTTCGCAGAATTAACAATGTTTTTGTTTGATTAATGCTTTGTTTGTTCATTTATTTTAGGAAGCGGCTCACTAAAAGCAAATGTGAACAAATGAAATCTCTGTATCGTATAGCAAAACAAGCAAAGCGTACGAAAAAAGACATAGTTGGTGCCTCATGTATCAAGAACGACAAAAATGAGATGGTACTTGAACAAGATGAGATCAAGCTACAGTGGAGAGAATACTTCAACCGTCTGTTAAATGAAACAAATCTTATCAATGTCAACTTTGACGCTCCACCCATCGAAGGTCCGATTTCAGACATCACTGTAGCGGATCTTAAAGAAGCTCTGGAAGCTATGAAGGATGGAAAGGCAGCAGGGCCCTCTGGAATCACAAATGACATTATCAAAGCATCTGGCACTGCAGGTATTTAAACGTTACAACAACTTTACCGTGAAGTGTGGAGAAATTGCTCAATGCCGACTGAATGGAACTATAGCATGATAGTTCCGCTATACAAAGGCAAAGGTGATCCATTGAACTGTTTATCATATCGGGGTATACGTCTGTTATAACACTCCCTGAAAATTGTCGAGAAAATCATTGTGAAAAGATTAACATCGTGCATTACAATCGGAAATTATCAATTTGGTTTCCTAGCGGGGAAATCAACAATTGATGCAATTCACATCCTTTGGCAACTGCAAGAGAAGTACCTCGCAAAGCATCAACAACTATCACACATTTTTGTAGACCTTGAAAAAGCATTTGATCGAGTTCCTCGTGAAGCAATCAGGTGGAGTCTACGTCGACAACTCATTCCAGAATATCTTGTTCGACTTGTGATGGAAATGTATACAAATACTAAGACTCTCGTCAGCACAACGGTTGGAAACACAGATGCATTTGACATCGACGTTGGAGTTCACCAAGGCTCGATTCTCAGTCCACTGTTATTTATAACTGTGATGGAAGAAATCACAAAACCGATACGCACTGGTGACATTTGGAATCTAATATATGTTGATGATATCGTTTTAACAGCCACGTCTGAGCAGAATGCATCACAGATAATTGAAGATTGGAACACCAGACTCGCTGATCATGGATTCAAAGTCAACATCTGCAAAACCAAAACAATGAACACTGGTGAACCCATCCAATCCACAGCTACTGGACGATGGCCCTGTTCAGTTTGTAAAGCTGGTGTAGGTAACATTTCAATCAAGTGTCAGCAGAGTAACCAGTGTTGTCACAAACGTTGTTCAAAAATAATTGGTACTTTATCTAAAGTGTGCAACTTTGTTTGTCCTGCTTGCATCAATCCACAACAACAAATAGCAATGTTTCTGAAGCCATTAAGATAGAGAAAGTCACATCGTTTCAATATCTATGGGATATTCTGGATTGTACAGGAACAGCTGAAGCTGCCGTTCGAGCACGCATACGTGCAGCCTGAAATAAATGGCATCTCCTTGCTCCTATGTTGATGTGGCGTGACATCTTATTACCACTACGGTCAAGACTTTATAAATCTGTGATACGTCCGGTGTTGTTATATGGTGCAGAAACATGGCCAATGACAACCAAACTGGAACAACAACTTCAACGAACCGATATGAAAATGCTCCGATGGATGCAACGAATTAGTCTGAAGGACCACATCAAATCTACCGAAATCCTGCGTCATGCTGGTTTAGATGATATAAAAGACGAATGCCGGCAACACCGTCTGCGGTGGTTTGCTCATGTCAAACGAAGTGAAAACAGTGCCATAACTTTTCTAGCAGATGTTGAAGTACTTGGCACTCGTCCCAAAGGCCGCCCAAAGAAGTCCTGGTCGCAAATAATCGAGTAGGACATGAAAGCTCTAAATTTAAATGAACGTCTAATTTGGCGCAAAAAGTTGATGGCAAAGAGAACAACGTCCTACCTCGGGTAACTGGGTCTCTGGACGGTAAACGAAGATTAGAGTATGTTGAATAATTATAAAATGTATTAATATATGAAATTGAAATAGAATAAATTACGTTGAAATGTAATTAAGAATATGTGAGATAAGAAAATAAATTAGAATAAATAAAATATGATAAGTTAATTAAAATATATAAAATAAAATGACGATAAGTAAACTATTTCTATATAGCAAATTATATTTCAATTTCATATATTAATACATTTTATAATTATTCAACATACTCTAATGTATAAATGTATTACTTAAGGCTCTGAAGATGGCGGTCACGCCGAAACAACGTTATAAGCCGCACTATGACACAACTGTTTAATAAATATGATTTAACCCTAATACGAAATGTTGAATCTATTGGTAAAAAACTAATCAACGCAAAATGGGCAAAAATATTTAATGAAGTTTGTATCGCTGAGACCTCGTACCAAAATATATATATATATATATATATAAATATATATATATATATAAACAGTTTTTTTATGAAATTCATCGATATTTTAGCGTTAATTAATTTACAATTCAAATTACTTATGTTACGTATTAGATCTCTATGTTGACACACACACACACACATACACACACACACACACACATATATATATATATATATATCGTATAGAATTAATATATATATATATATATATATATATATATTATATATATATATATATATATCGTATAGAATTAAAAAATCTTTTTTGTTCATATATTTATCATCCAAATTTGAAAAGTTTAAACAAAAGTAAATTCATGTAAAATGTTGGGACATCTTACAAAATGTGATTTTAATTACAATTTTAAAAATACCAGCTGATTGAAAGATTTTGTAGACAGGAAAGTTATGCTCAATATGTGTAGGTTAAGTTTTTTTCTGAGATTTCTTGCGACAAGCCAATAGGCTAGATGATTTGACAGGAGATGTGACTATGATTTAGGCTAGGGTTGCACCCAGAGCTTAGCTCAGACCGGATATTCAACGGTATTTTTTACTGTTTCGTCCTGTTTCATTGATGCACTAGTTTGACATATTTTAGACATAATATTCTATCACTAGTCAATACATATTTTATCAATCAAAATTTCATTTTATTTAGATATCCATAGAATGGCAGATGATTTACCACTTCGAATATCTATATTAGACGCTGACTCAATTTCACTGTCATTAGTTTCAGAAGATGTTAAGTATAACTGTGCCTATTGTGGAAAAGTCAGGCTGGATCAAGTTCAACTTAAATGTGGCCATAGGATATGTTCATATTGCTTTAAATTAAACGTCAATTTGGATATTGAAGCTATAAATTGTCCAAAAGAAGAAAATTGTGACCATTCTTTAGTTAATGAAGTAGAACACTAATATTTTATGTATATTGTATTCATGTTTTATTTCTGATTAAAATTGGAAATAAAAATTCCAGATATATCCAGACTATGCAGCAAAGCGAGATCTATTGAATTGTATCATTTATTGCCCATATCAATTTAATGGATGTCCAGAAAAAATACTAGTTACTGATATAAATGTTAATATTTAAATCTGTTGCATACTTTTATAAACAATCCCATTTTTTTTATGTGTTATTTAATTTAATACAAAACGGTAATTTAAACTGTTTTTTAGGTTTTCAAAATAAAGTTGAACTGTTTACAAACATGACCATGATTAAGTTAGTGTTTTAATCTTTTTTATTGAATTTCAGGATCATTTGCAAGTTTGTAGTCATTATGTCATGCAGTGTACTGAAGAATTTAATATGAGTTCGCCAAACCAAGTCAGAATTTTTTCACTTTTTGCTTATTATATATATATATATATATATATAAGAATTTCCGACTTGCTATCGCAAGTACTGTCGGCCAGAACGAGTACATAAAGTACTCCATCTCTCACCACGACCAAAGGTGCGTTTCTGTGAACACCCAACTCGTTTTAGGCTAGACGCGTTTCCTTCCTTATGAGACTCATCAATAGCCCGAGTTTAAACACCAACTTAGTGCAATTATTATCTTAGTAGACAACATTGCAAACAAATGTGTTTTTTAAAGTAATCCACGAAACTATTTTAGTCTTTTTTTATTCAGCAGAGTAACAGTACGTTTCTATCGACTAAAACACCTTAGTTTGCAGTGTTGTCTACTAAGATAATAATTGCACTAAGTTGATGTTTAAACTCGGGCTACTGATGAGTCCCATAAGGACAAGTTGGAAATTCTCACCCTTTATAAACTCATGTACTTGTAGATTCAAGTCGACTCACGAAATATGTATATTTCATTTAATTTTCAAAGTTTATTCATAATTAACAACATATCAAATAAGTGAATAAATAAGTAAATGTTCGTGTTATACATATATAAACATATAAATATGTAAATGTTCGTTCAGTACATATATAAACATATAAATGTTTAACCGTTCATAAAGACCATTCATCCGCATCATTTGTTCTCACGTTTAATAAATTTAACACACACCTAAGCAACATATTTTATTGTTTATAAAATATAAACTATTTTGGAATGATCAAAAGACGGTCAAAAAATGTGTTAGAATTTTTGACGTAAAACCGCTAGCCCAAGAATTACTGGATATTAAAAGGATTAACTCACGTCTCATGTGGAACAAGCTTCGCCTAGAAAAGCAAACAATGACTATTTTTTCTGTATACGCACCACAGACAGGCGAATCAGAAAAGATGAAAAATTACTTCTGAGTTTCGTTCTCTGACACCATCTCAACAATACCAAAATCTGAAACAATCCTGATTGGAGGCGATCTCAATGGCCACGTTGGAGAGAAAAAAGATAGTTTTGACAACTTGCATGGCGGTTTTGGCTATGGAGAACGGAATGAAGATGGCAACCGCATCCTTGACTTTGTTGAAAATTACGGGTTTTGTTTAATGAACACATATTTTAGAAAGAGATTGGAACATCTCATAACATACAAAAGTGGACCATCAGCCACACAAATTGATTTCTTCGCTGTCAAGCAACAACACCGAAGGCTATTCAAAAATGTCAAAGTTGTACCTGGCGAATCATGTGTCGCCCAACATAGACTCCTTGTGGCAGACCTAGTTGTCGAACTGTCACAACATAAGTCTAAACAAATGCCTTGGAGAATCAAAACGTGGAAGCTGAAAAGCAATATCCATCGAGAAAAATTTCAACAGATTGTCGCCACACGGTTAGACCACCAATCGCAGGTACAGATTGGAGTACATACAAAACCGTTTTAATAAACGCTGCAACTACAGTTTGTGGAAAACTGGTACAAAACGCCAGCATGAACGGGACACTTGGTGGAATGACAGTGTACAAAATGCAATAGCTGAAAAGAAAGCTGCATACAAGCAATGGCAAAAATCAAAGTCTGTTGATGGCCATAAAATTTTCCGTGAGAAGAACAACTATGCAAGACGTCAAGTCGCACTGGCTCGGACAGATCAGTGCAGAGAGTGGCTCAATAAAAACAAAGGTAAACAAACGAAATCTCTGTATCGTATAACAAACAAAGCAAAGCGTACGAAAAAAGACATAGCCGGGTTCCTCATATATTAAAAACGACAAAAATGAGATGGTTCTTGAACAAGATGAGATCAAGCTACAGTGGAGAGAATACTTCAACCGTCTGTTATATGAAACAAATCTCATCAATGTCAACTTTGACGCTCCACCCATCGAAGGTCCGATTCCAGACATCACAGTAGAGGAGCTTACAGAAACTCTCTAGCTTTGAAGGATGGAAAGGCAGCAGGGCCCTCTGGACTCACAAATGACATTACCAAAGCATCTGGTACTGCGGGTATCTAAGCGTTATTACAACTTTGCCGTGTGGAAAAATTGTTCAATACCGACTGAATGGAAATATAGCATGACAGTTCCGCTATACAAAGGCAAAGATGATCCATTGAACTGTTCATCATATCGGGGTATACGTCTGTTAGAATGGAAATAAGGATAGACAAATGTGTTTTGCTTGGGATGCGTAAACGTGATGGCAGCTACGAGCAATTCCTGCCAAGACTGACTATTGGTGACATAGTGATTCCACAAGTGGCCATGGGAAAAGGTTTTGAATATTTAGGTAAAATTTACGATTTTGGATGCTCAAATGATAAACTAAAAGACAAATTATCCACAAAACTGTCATCCACGTTAAAAATAACAACAGAACTACATGTTAAGCCACAACAAAAACTTCAAATTTTAAAAGTTTTCATTCCATATCAACTAAAGTTCGACCTTCGCTCGAGCAGCATATTTCTTACATGGATTGAAAACAACCTAGACAATCTAATAATTGAGGCGGTCAGAAATTGGCTCTCAATTCCTGTTAGTGGTTGCGTGGCGGAACCACTCTTATCACTGCCTACAAAACTTGGAGGTCACAACATAAAGTCTTTGAAAGATTCCACTGAAATGATGAGATTAAAGCTACGTAGCTACTTAAAAATAAACGAAAACAAAGAAATGAGATGTTTTTGGCAGGAGTCTTCCTTCAATTATAGTAAAATCGATAATGCTCTAAATAATGCAGACCTCTGAAATCAGCACTGTCAACCACATTGAACAAACGCATGGAGATGCATTATAGCCATGTTGAGGCTCTACAAAGTCTAGGAGTGTTAATCAAATCCATCAAAAAACACATCACAACCAAACAAATTTGCCGTTGGTCAGAATCACTGGCTGACCTCTCAGCAACTTTATTCAAATTTACTAAAAAATATCTCATGCAACAGCTGCCAACTAACGCTAATCTTTTTGGATGGGGTAAAATGAATAACAAACTTTGCCCTCTCTGCAAAGCCAGCTAGACGAATAAACATGTCTTATCCAACTGTGGATCAATTTCAGCACTAGCTCGCTACACTAAAATACACAACAAGATTCTAGCGCTAGTTGTCAATGCTTTAAAACTACAAAAACAACCGGAGTATGTCATCTACGCTGATATAGACTTTGAAGAAATTCTTCCGATACCGATATCAGCCCTGTTCAAATCAATACGTCCTGACGTTGCCATCCTCCGTAGGAGCATCATTGAAGTTTTGGAACAAACTTGGCCAAGTCAAAAGAATATAAAATCAACAAATACAAAGACAAGCTCTAGGCCAACCTCAAAGACAATTTTAAAATATTTGAAAATATGTTTTTGAAATATCTTCAATAGGGCTTGAAATATCTTCAATAGGGCTTCAATATCTTCAATATCTTTACAATTAATTTACATAATATGGTCAGATTCGTTTGTAAATAAGTTGACTTTTACAGCAATAACCCATTCGTAAAATATCTACTGTGAACGTAATAATCTATAACATTCTTTGTTGCTTTTAAACTTTTTCGTGCTTGCGTTAGGAATAAGTAAAAAGTTTTATTATCAATAACTCCATTTTATTATTGTATAAATTTTATTGATTATATTTTACTCACTGCATTATTAACTCAAACTAAATTTAATAACCATTAACTTTTAATGATTCTTTTATTTTGAGCCCATCATACAGCGTCACCGTCTGCAAAAACTGTTTTCACTCCATCCAAAGCGACACTCACAACAACAAACAACAGATGCCAAACTGGATCACAATACTCTCAACGCCACCAACACCTTGCAAACAGTTCCTCCCGGCTACTACGAAATTTCAAAAATTATTCGAAAATATTAATCAAGATCATCCCCATGTCCACTATACCAGATCTCAATAATACCATTCAAAAAATGCCCAATTCTCAGAACTATTCTCCATCGGCTATTAATCCAATGTTGGTCATCTTCTTCAATTCCTTCATGCTGGAAAAAAGGATTTACGATACAAACCCACGAAAAAGGTGATACCAACAACCCATCGAACTTCCGCTCAATAACACTGCAACCAAAACTATACAAAATATTTTCATCGTTCATCAACAATAGAATGTATAGCTTTCTTGAAACAAGCAAATAAATAAATAAAAACATTCAAAAAGGGTTCTATCCTAAAGTTGATGGTTTGGCTGAACACACCCAGATGTTAAAGAACATGATCAACGATCTAAGAGACATCAACGCACCATCATCGTCACGCTCTTAGATCTTCGTAACTCATTTGGAGAAGTCAGCTACAACCTCATCTCTTCAACGCTAGATTATCATCACATTCTTCTTCTGACTGAAAATTTAATAAATGATATTTATGCCGATTATTCAATCTCTGTCTCTGGTTGCAAAAGCTTAACACTTCCCATTCCGGTTAAATGTAGGGTCTTTCAAGGTGATCCCGTTTCCTCCCTGCTGTTTAATCTGTGTTTCAATCCGTTGATGAAACTAATCGAAAAAACAGAATTTCAAAAGTGTGGCTACATATG